TTGCATCAATTATTTTATATTATGGTGACAAGATGGCAGTTCTTCATTATCTCGACAAAAGTTCAGATAAGAATTGATCTATAGGAAACAATTGGTTTTATGCAAAAAGCAATAGATGAATAAATCCTGTTCGAAAAATGTTTTTACTTTTGAAAAGCTTTCGATGATTTCTTCAACGAATAAGCAATATATTTCTAGAGGAGTATGACAAGAAAGATTGATGTTCTACTATAAAATAAGAATCTTCAATTTTTATCGCAATTACAGAATTCAATATGTTTAATATTCACTGAGTTTTGCCTACAAAATATAGCGTAGTTCGTGTCTTCATAATGAAAAACAGACTTCATAGAAGGAAAACATTTCAAATAAAAACTAACTACAAAAAAAAAAAATTACGAAAAGTTATTAATCAAAACCGAATATTATAAATTTTGTGTTGGCATTGTATCAAATTGTTTTGCACCATCAATTGGTTTGTTCCAAGACAGTCTTGATTTACAATAGACTTCCATTGATGGTTTAGGAATATCATCAAATAATCCCATTTTGATGATCCAGGCACCAGGTATACTCGGTGTAGATGAATAAATTGGACTGCCACAGTTATCACAAAAAGCACGTTGAACCGTCTTTCCACTATCCGTTTTACTATCTTGATAAATTTTTGGTTGTCCGATGATTCTCACAGCCGATTCCGGAACAATAATATTGGTTGATGCCATAGAGCCGGTAGCTTGACGACAGTTCTTGCAGTGACATAAACAAATTTTGCCATCTCCATCGAGTGCTTCTTAGCAATCGAAATTTTAATTTGTCCACATAAACATTCACCAGTTGTAGAACTCATTTTCGTTTAGACTTATTTTTATTTTTTTACTCAGATATATGAAAGAAGGTGTGCGTTTATATTAAGTAAGATAAAAAATGTATGCAATATGTAATATTATAAAGGTGAGTAAATATTAGAGGCAGGAGACATAGTACCCGTTCGCTCACACAGTCGTTCTGTTTCTTTTACTACGAACGAAAGAATAGCGACGGAGAAAGCAACAATTTTTGAGTTGAAGCGAATACAAAATGCTCGCAATCATACTGCTTTAGTTTATAAATCGTTACGCATGCGTTTGTGCTTTTTCTTCTAAATGCCAAGAGTGTGTTTATGAAGATATTGAGAGAGGTAATAGCGTCTTCGCTTTATCTAGAGACAGCAATTGAAATATGGGTGTATTTTTCAAAAATTACTTCTTATATGCTATTCATCGTCTCTTATATGACGATATTTCAGGCTGAGACATATCTCCAATATGCATATGAAAA